GTATAAAGATACGCTAATAAATATATAGAATACACACTTTTTTCGACCAATCACTGATTCGGGGTGCTACCGTAAAAAACGTGACTTATTTTGAAAAATTGTTATTTTAATTTTTAGCAAAATCATATGGTTTACTGAAAGCATAATTTTTCCAAAAGTCCGGTCAAAACATAAGTTCATCAACGTCAAAGTCAGCGGAAACGTAAAATCGTCATAATATATACAATCATATCATAAAAGTCCTGACACGTCCGTCATCTCACGCTCTCGGCCCGACGTCCTGACCTGAAAAACATAATAAAGGTGGGATGTGAGCACTATGACACTGTGCTCCGTGGAAACTCATACTAATGTAAACATTGAAAATAATAACAACATCATGATCTTGGCATATACATAACCTGAACATGAAACCGGTAATAACATGAACATGAATCTGATATCATCACATGAACGTGAACCATGACCGTTACCTCATCTGCCGGCACAAACTAATACCGGACACTATGTGCACACTCTAGTGGGCAGATTAGGCCACTAGAACCCAGAATGGACCGACGACCATTCCGAGCGGATACATGACATGAAATACATACCTCAAACATGGTACCGTAATTATAATCAATGTAGTACTTAGTCTGAGTCCCCACCTGATCCGTGAAAATAAAGGCAGTGCTGATACTCGTGACCTGATCAAACTGAAATATAATATAAACAATTACTAATGACTATGCTCAGACTGTTAACTTAACTGATTAATTATGTTAAGATGCTCTACTGAACCTGACATGATATTTGGACTTAACCGGAATAACCGGAACTGATCTGATATGAACTGATCGGACATGAACTTACTGAACTGAACTGAACCCAGAATTTTAACTGAAATAGAACTTAAAATGCGAACCAGGATTAAAATAATATTATTTGGGTCAAACCGGTATTAACTGGTCTGAACCGGTCTGGCCGGACCGCCGGTCTGCTCGGACCGGTCGGCCGGCGGCTGACTCGGTCCACGGCCTGGCCATATCTTTCTCATACTCCTAAGAAAATCGGCATGCGTTTGTTAACTGTCTTGCCTTTGTTAAATCTAAAGGTAATGTCTATTGTTTTGCAGGTCTAATATATATTATTTGGTAATACATTTTAATTACTAATAATTTTTAGATTGTAATACATATTATTGACATCTAATATTTTATATATTTTTGAACATGTTAATTGGGAAATTTTTTCACACATCTTATAAATTAAGGTCTATATATATAGATACATATATATGTGTGTTAAACTTAAGTGTTTTTAAACATGTTTTACTTACAAAATCATTTAAAAAAACTTATTTAGGCGACTTCACATTTTTTAAGAATAATATATAATATTTTAGATAATTTTACATATATTATATAAAATTTTACTTGTTTTTAATATTCTAAACATACATATTTAATGTTATTTTATATAACTAAAAAAGTATAAAAATATAGTAATTATTATTTAGATAAACAAGTATAATCGATATTAAAATGATAAACTAATAGCATTCTAAGAACTGTCATGTAAATTATCCTACGATAAATAATTCATTTAGGCCTTAGGTTTTCATTTAAGTTTCGACGGCACCATGTTCTAGTTATAGTTTTGTATGCATGATGATAAAGAAGAGTCTGTTTTTAGTCATGGTCAATTATATGTTGTTGGTTCATGTGTAAGTAATATAAGAAAGTTGAAAATATTAAGTTATGGGACGACGAGTTGCCCAGTAATCAAATTAATATTGTTGTGTACAAAAAGGTTTTTAATAATATATTATTTTTTCTGAGGAACATTTTTATGGTTTGACAATTTTCATATATATTATCACACTTTCGTTTATTAATACAATTCAACTTATAACTTTACTTTTTTATTTATTAATACACTTCAATTTATAATATACCCTAAGAATAATACACTCCAATTTATTAATACACTTTAATTTTTAATATTTCTTTGATTTTTGAGAAAGAAAATGCAAGGCATCGAGGATTAGTTAGAGGATCATGATTTTTTAAGGATGAGAGTGAAGCAAGGAATCGAGTATTATATAGAGTATCGAAATTTTTTAATAAAGTGAGCCGGAAGGGCATCCAAATATGAGATTGTTAAGATTCAAGATGCTCACATTATTGATGATGTGCCCTCCTCATCAATATCAATAGAAATACCCATCTTGCTCCATCATATGATATGTCTCAACCGTCCTCAAACAGAATTTGCACCTATGACGAATTTCAATAATTCATTCCTTCCTGAGGTTTTGTTGCCTTCTATCTTCCTTGTATGTTGTTCTAGAGGCCCGGTCAGCCCCTCAAACAGTACAACTAAGCGATGTGTAGGTTTTGGTTTAAAGTTACTTTCTACTAAACAATAACTTCAACAAAATTTTACCAAATAATATATTTATAGCCACGTTTTCGAAACAACTAACTCAACTTTAACAAATAATACACACTTGGAAATAAGCTATTAAAATTTTAATTTGTATAATTATCTGCTATACTTACCTTTTATATAGATATCATAAGATGGTGAAACATCATCTTACCCTTGCTTTATAAATGGATACATTTGTCTTTCTTTGCTGTTTATTTTTAAATGTATTAGAAACTTTTAGAAACAGTTGCCGCAAACTCAATAAATTTCGCTATTGTTTTTACAAATTTTCCATTTAAAAAAATTTGATTATTTTCTTGCATAACAATTTCGAATTTATACCAACTTCACTAGTTTACCTTTGGACAGAAGTCGGGCCTCAAACGTTCTCATTTTCTCAATCTTTCATCAAGGAAACATTTGGTCAAAGGTGCGAATATCGCAAATTTGGTCGGCCATCTCTCCTCCATAATGATTATCAAAAACCAAGCGAGTAGCGGCAGAATCAAGTGGCTTAAAGAAGGAGATGGGAAGCTTAGCCAGCTAGCTCGTACCTAGGAACCCCCGCACTTATAATTCGTTCTATTCCCCGCTTATTTATCTATTTTTCTTTTAAAAGATGAAGAAATAAATTTGATTTTCTCGTTTATTTCCTACGGCGACGAACTTACCGAAAGTTGCATTTTATGGCATGCATTTTTATTGTTTGTAGTAGAAATGGTCATAACTGTCAAAACTAACAGGACTATCACGTGAAACGTTACAACCTTTAGGATCAATTTTGTAATTTTTTTAAACCCATCGTATGAGAAAAATTTTGCAATTTTTAAAAAAGAAAAAGGATAAAAATTATCTTACTTTTAAATTCAAAAGTGGAAAGTTAGACTTTTTGTTTAAATAGTTTGACTTACTTTTAAATGAATTTTTTTGAATGAAATTTAAAATTAATTTTATCTTATAGTTTGCCAAAAAATCGTACCACGCTAGAAGACATGTTCTCATTGAAAATCATCTAGTACAGAGAATATTGCAATCCTCCCTATATATAATTCTCGAATGCGCTGAGCTTATGTGGCTGCTTCTGGTGCTTCGGAATCCTACTTGGCGAAGAATCATGCTTCGTAACTAGGTTTGGACAAATAATATTGATATATTAATAATTAATTATAATCTAGGTTCGAACATTCCATAAATATTATTTAGCTAACTTAGGTATTTTAATATCACTTGTACTAATATAACCCTTTAATTCCTTGTAATTTTACATAGTGATGCACTAAGTGACTAATATATCCCGACTTTTGATTTGTTCCTTTAATTAGCTATTGAATTGTAAATGTACTTTAAAAGTTGATAACTTTTGTATTTCTTATCGGTTTTACATATATAATATATCAAATTAATCATCTTTCGATGATCTTCGATTTGATATCCATATTGTATATTGGAATAAATAAATTATATTTATATTTATAATAATAAAAGATAATTATATTTATTAAAATTCATTTGAAAAATAAAATTATTTCTCAATTGATATATATATGTTTAATGTAGTTATATGTGGTAAGTTAAAAATATTATTATAATATAACACAGGTAAGTAGCACAAATAAAAAGTGACCTAGTAAATATATAATACTCTCTCCTATTTTTATTATTTGTCGTATTGAGAAGCAACACGCTAATTAAGAATTTTTTTCTTGTCAATATTAACCTTATTTAATGGATGTTATGAGAAACTATGGAGATGGGATATGAAGAATCACTGTACATTGATGGAGGGTTAAAAATGGAAAAATATGAACAAAATAGCCAAAACCACATTTATTTAATCAATGATATATTAAGCCAAAATGACAAATAATAAAAATAGGAGGGAGTAATATATATATTTTTAGAAAAGATATTTAAATTTTCAACTATTTTTTCTCATTAATTTTAAATTTTAAGAAAGAAATTAGCAAGCACTCGTGTAATACACGGTAGTTGTACTAGTTTTATGAGGTTTTTGGAAAAATGATAAGGACAAAATGGTCCACAGAAGAAAGAGACAACACTTTTTTTTTTCTTTTTAACACACACACATGAGGACTAATACTGATTCTCCAATTCTTCTTCCACTGACTCGAACTTGGGATATATGATACGCCGAGCGAGGTATGCGCCACTGTGCTAAACCCTCTTGAGGCAACACTTAGTTATAGGGGAACGGATGAATAGTAACTCCCGCTTACAAAACATGCAAAAATGTCGTTTCCTCCTCCGATTACCAAACCTAATGAAACACCAAAAAGGAAACTGGCCCACGACCGAGAGGATCATTCAGTGATGGGCGTCTAAGGCCCACAAACAAGGATTTCACAGTTGGGCTCGATGGCCCATGAAGGATAATTGAAGCCCGATAATGTTTTGGTTAACATTTTCACTCATTGTCGTCGAGGAGATCCCGTGGCACAAAACGGCAACCTCCGATTGCTACTGTTCTTAAATTCCTAACAAGAAAGCTTAAAATCAACACAACCTTACGATCAGTTTGTTCAAATTTTACCTGCAAAAGTAATCATCAATGGCGGATGAAAGCAAAGTTGCGGTGCCTGCAAAGTACGATCTGAATGCTAAATGGGATGCGTGCCTCGATTTGGGTCTCCGCCGCTTCGTTTACTCTGCGTTCGCCGGCGCCGGCGCAGGCCTTCTTCTCTTCCGTGAGTCGCCCATCATTTCGTCCGTAATTTTTCCTATTCCGCGCGTATTGCTAAAGCCAGTGATTCTAGGTTTTTGAGCTCGTAATTTTTGAAAGGGAACTTTCGAATTTTGTATGGGGTTCAGCTAGATCGTGCTGTTTTGTGTTGTTTGAGTGACGGGTAGATGAAATCTTTTGTTTGTTTGTTTGTTATCAGGTGTTGAGTCTGTACTGTCTTTGCGTTTATTACCTTTGAAATTATTTGCTTTTGCATTGTGTTTGTTATTTAATTTTTTTTTTTTTTTTCTNNTTTTTTCTCTGCTTTTCATGTTTGTTTGGTGTAGAATGGAAAGAAAAAAAAAATGTGGGCTTGCACTACATGACATCTCCATTACTACTTTGTTTAGCTTATGTTTTGTAGCTGGTTTTAATGTTAGCAGCAAATCATGTGGTATTGCAGTCTATGGTTTTATTTTTCATTAGAAATCACAAGTAACCGTGAGGTTGCATCTTTGCTCACGGTTAATAAAGAAAAAAAGATCATGTTTTGATGCCAATATTCGCGTGGGAGATCACTTTAACGAGACATTGCAGATTGCATTTACAGGTGTGAAGTGTACTAAGCATTCACACTATGGATGGGCTTAACTTTTAAACTCCTTTGTTGCTTCTTAATCAGACAGAGTGCAGTCGTTTGTCTGTGTATAGATTGTTTGCAGAACCAGTAAATATTCAAGTTCTTTTATCCTTCTAATGAAAAGCGTACAAAATTTTGGCATTCAAAATTAGTTATCTTCATCTGGCTCTCAATACATTTTGTTTTGTCATGCTAACTTATGTCGAGTGCATGGGTAATACCTAAATGCAGTCGTTTACTTGTCTACAGATTGTTGCACAATCAGTAAATATTCAAGTTCTTTTGCCTTGCTAATGAAAAGCCTACGGATTTTTGACATTATTTCTTTTGTTATGCTAAGTTATGTCCAGTCCATAGATAGTAGCTATGGCATTTGTTATGTTGCGTGCCCTGTGATTTAAAAGGTGATTCTAGTCCGATTAAACAATTTGGCTCATTTTTAAGTTGGTTGTTCTATAGGGAGTCCTGTGACACGTTGGGCAACTGTAGCCTTTGCTGCTGGAGTCGGTATTGGTTCCGCATACACAGATTGCTCTCATATCTTTGGTGGATCTCCACCTAAAGTAACCCCTTTCATCACTGATGAATCTAATTCTAAGGTATCTTTCTTTTGGCTATTTTGTTGTTGTTTGGACTCTTTATCCGGCCATTGGGGTGTATTACTTCTTTATTTGTAATTTCATATATACAATGTTGCTTTTATTTGAGATTTCGCCATTGTGTAAAACAGATGAAGTTTCTAGTCATATAATAAGTATATGACCGGTTCGTGTTGAATATATATTTCGTCTATGGTTTTTTCAAGTATGAAGTTTGTGATTGGATGGGTGAGATCATTGTTTAATTCATGAGTTTGGATCTAAAACGCAGCTTAAGTTTAACAAACTTTACTGCCTATGATTTCTGTCTTTAAAAACTGTTTCAGCTTCTTGGGGTTTTCTTATTGTCCATAAAATCAGCATATGTTTGAGTTTTCAACGGCACGTGCTTCTTCTTTTAGTCCTCTCCTAACCTTGATATTGTGGTTTTACAGAAGAAACTAACAATTATGAGATCTTCTGTGATTTATGCAGAGCGAGGAATGAAGTTACCATCGGCTGATGGCTTTTCGTGAATTAGAACTTCCGTTTTTCTTTTTGGTTGATTCTCTCTGTTATGTATGGCAGTTTCGAACTTTTTTCGATCACGGGTTATGTTGTAATTCGTAACTTTTTTGTGAGTGCCATCACTGTTTTGTATTCTTATCCTAGTGAATTGAGTTTGGGGAGATGTGGGTATGATATTTGGTGATGGCATGTTCTCCAAATTCCTAATAAGTTCATCAACATTGACATGTGAATTCTATAAATCTATAAGACTATAACGAATTGTTTGTCCTAATCTGTTATATTGTTTAAATATTCCATATCTATTTTGGGGATTTAAATTTTTATTTGTAGATAATAAAACTGAGTTCCAACACATATAGTAATTTAGTTGCTAACCAGTTTAAAAATAGAGTTATTTGTATGAAAAGGTACATAATAGCAAGAAGACTCAGAAAAACCCATTGTGGCCTTTTTCATCTTTTTACAAGGAGTCCACCTTGAAGCCAATTTCTCATCATCACAAAAGCTTCCTCTGCATCAGCATCATCTTCTGCAGTCCGAGGCCGATGAGCAAAACCATGGCCTCTCCCTTTGAAAACCACCATCTTCGTAAATTCTTTATTCCGGTTCGTAAAATCCTCCAAAACACGGATAGGGCAAAGCTCGTCATCATCACCCGTGATCATCAGCAATGGCACCTTGATGATATTGCTAGTAGCAACAGAGGAATCGATCCTCGTGCCGTAAAACGAGACACCCGACCCGAAATAGGCACCTTGGTCCCGAGCTAGAATTTCGATGACCCGGCCGCCTCCATAGCAAAAACCGATAATCCCGAGCTTGTTTGATATTCCTACGGATGCAAATCCGTTAACCATCCATTTTGCTGACTCGAATATGACGTTTTTTGCTTTTTTGCTTTCCGAGCTATGCTTGGTGATCCACTGTTCGAACATTGCTTTTGGCCTTTCTTCTGTCCATGGATCGCCGTTAAACTGATCCGGAACCAGCACACTGCATTCTTTTCCAAGCGCGGTTTGAGGCTATGTTCGATAAATTTAGTTGATAAAGTAGTTTATAGTTAGCTAGCTTATAACTTTTAAGTGAAATTCGTGCTTATAGCTGATAATTTATGACCTATGGCTGAAAAGCTAGCTTATAAGATAAAAGTGGTTGGTAAATTAGCTGATAAGCTAGCTAAAACAAAAAATTCAAAAAACCAGCACACAATTTTTTATTTTATTTTCCAAGGCACGATTCGAGTAAAGTTCATAACCGAGAAAGGCAGTTTAGAAATTGTTCGTGTTCGAGCTTACTTGTAACCGTTGCAAGCAACACGATATGCGAAATCCCGAGTGGCCGAGTCTTCAAAACCGAAAATATCTGACAAGAGAAGTATCCCGGTTGAATTATTGTTCTTTACGGCCGTGAAAAGATATGCTCGGGTTTCGTCCCCAATGGTAAGTTCGGTCCCGTTCACTAACTCGCAGGCTTCATCTCTTCCTGTGTTGTCTTCTGTTTGAACTCGGCTGCAACACACTCCGAATTTTTTACCGCTTTTACGAACCGAAAGCAACTGCTTTTGCATATGCTTCGACACCACATTGCTTTTCTGCACAATACCTGAAGTTCTACAGTTAATAGTCTCACAAGTTTTACACTTTCTGTAACATGATAGAATGTATATTTATGACAACAAGATTTGCATTGTGTATAAGAGATACTAATGAGCTTCTTTTTGTAACTACTTACAGTGAAGTGAAGTTGTGGAAGAGCTTTGAATTCTTGTAAGAAGTTTTTATGCAGCTTGATAATTGGTGGAGCTGTGAAAACTGAACTCAAATTCATCTTCTTTTTCTTTTCTTTTCTTTTCTTTTTTTTTTTTGCTTTTTTTTTTTATCTGATTTATGGATTATGGAATAAGAAGAAAAGATAGATGACTAGATAGAATGTAAGCATCATAAATATCTGTACTCTGAATTTCTCTGTTAGAAAGAAAAAAAGGATAATAGCTTCAATTTGTGGCCGAAAACAACGAGATATGCTACGGTCCCGTTACGGAACCATTCCGTCGACATTTGTAACCATCGGAGATAGATGATCAAAACGGTTACAAATCTCGATGGAATGATTCCGTAACGAGACCGTATTATTTCCCAATTTTCAGACTGAAACAAAAGATTGGGGGGTCAAAGTGGGGGACTTTGGATTAATATTGTCACTTTCTTGGTCCAATTTTAAAGATATCTTTATGGAAAGAGTCATTTTTTTTTTTTTGTCCATTGCATATGGAGCTGGAAGAGTCATTGTTGACAATTCTCCTGACATAGTGCTAATAATGGACTAGATCAAAATGGCTCAATTAAATTCTAGTGCTTCTTCTATTAGTGAAGTTTCTAGAAAAAAATATATCAAACGACGCAACGCACCTTGGGTCGCTATGGAAACAGCCTCCTTGTATAATTACAAGGGTAAGGTCTGCGTACAACTGACCCCCCAGACCCCAACTTGTTGGGAATATATTGGGTATGTTGATGTTGATGTTGATGTAAAGAGTCATTTTTTTTCCCTTTTTAATTGTTAAGCAACAATTAAAAATCCTAAATTTTATCTGTAATTAAAAAATTAATTTTTTAATCTAAAAAATAAAATCATATAAATGATCACATAAAATATATAAAAGGATATATTGAAATCAATCATCAATATTTAAAAAAAAATAAAAATAAATAAACAGCCTATGAAGTATTGAATAAAATATCAAAGGTCAGCCTCACATATGTATCTTGCTTCATAGCTTGGTTCTTACTAATTATAAAGATAATAATAATAACAATAACGCAACATGACTAATTAAATCAACGCCGAAAGCTGACCGTATTTATCCAGAAAATCCATCGCGAGCTCGTCTCCATCAACATTTCTAAAATTTTGTTCAAGAAAAATTGCCTATGTCAGTTATTATCGTCAACTTTCACTATCAATTTTTTACTTTAAGATTTCTAAAAAAATTCACTAAAATTAATAAATCTAATAAAATATTATTTTCAGCTGCATATAAAATTATTTTTGGAGTTTTATATATAACAAAGACTTCACCTTTCCATCTGGGCTTTCTTCTCTTCGTCCGTTTTCTCATCCAATCTCTTGGAACAAACAGGTCATCTCCATTTACTCGCTTTTCTTCTCCAAGAACAATCCTAAGTTTTCTGTTGTGATCTATTATTACTGATGTATGGTTACTGTTCGAATTTTTATCTCACCCTAGATTCTTAATTCATGTGAATTTTTGTGTTTCGTAAGGTTGTCGGATTTGATCTTCATGTTAACATATTGTGTTCCCTAACCCCAAAGTTTCAGTCTTTTGCTTTTTCCATCTTTATTGGTGTAAAGGGTCTTTCGTTTTGGGCTGTGTTTGTGTAATTTGTGTACTTAATCGGATATTTGTCGGCGAGGGTTTTTTTATTTTTATTTTTATTTTTATTTTTTCTGGTGCCCATGTTAAATTTTATCGTAATAAGTAATCTAAAAGAGTTTATGTATCTTTCACATACTTGTCAGTTAACTAGATATTAGTTCAGATTGTAGAGTTTCCTTATTTCATTGGGAAATTTGTGCTATTTGTTAAGGATTCATGTTTTTGCCCGATTTCTTTACTTTACGGTTGTTCTAATGTGCATCAATGTTTAAGTGAATTTTGTACAGACTTTACTTTTATGCTGAGTCTTGAAGTTGTCGGGTTTTATGTTCTTTATGGGTGTGGAGGTTTTTGTGTTGTGGGCTGTGTGTGTAATTACTTATCGGGATGTTTGTTGGCGATTTTTTCTTTCGTTTATCGGGATGTTTGTTGGTGATTTTTTTCTTTCGTTTATCGGGATGTTTGTTGGCGATTTTTTCTTTCGTTGGTGCCCATGTTGAATTATCGTTGATCAGTAATCAAAAGGGTTTTATGCATCTTTTTCACACCTGTCAGTGAATTAGATATCAGTCCAAATTTTAGTTTTTAATTCATTGAGAAAGTTTTGCAGTTTGTGAAGGATGCCCGCTTTTTCTTTATTTTTTTTACTTTTTGGTGGTTGTATTATGAATCAGTGAAGTGTGTTGTTCTGTCTGTTGTTTAAGTGAATGCGCATATGTTGGAATTTGCAGATAAAAGTTTGAATCTTTTAATCATGGGAGGAAGTGCAGTTGACGATGATTGGGAGTTATTTGGTACGCCTCAAAACGAGGTTCGAACTGTAGTTTTAGTCGGCCGAACTGGAAATGGTAAAAGCGCAACTGGAAATAGTATCCTTGGTAGAAGGGCATTTAAGTCTATGTCTAGCTCTGCTGGTGTCACTAGCACATGTGAGCTGCAGACTACAACTCTCGGAGAAGGGCAAATCCTTAATGTGATCGACACCCCTGGTACAAAATTACCCTAAAGATTGATTAATTTAGTATTTAACTCTATGCTACTTTGTGATGTGTTCAAATTTGGAACAAAACTTGGAAAAAAAATTTCAGGGCTGTTTGATTTTTCTGCTGAGCCGGAGTTTATCGGGAAGGAAATTGTTAAGTGCATTAGTATGGCCAAGGATGGTATACATGCTGTTCTTGTTGTACTATCTGTGAGGTCTCGTTTTTCGAGAGAAGAAGAGGCTGCCGTGCAGAGCTTGCAGAAATTCTTTGGTAGCAAAATTAGTGATTATATGGTTGTGGTCTTCTCCGGCGGTGATGACCTGGAAGAAAATGATGAAACTCTGAATGATTACTTGGGTCGAAGCTGTCCTGAGCCTTTGAAGGTAAAATCTTCTTTGAGTCGTATATTTTCTTTTCGCCTTATTTTCCTTCCCTTCCCCTGATTTTTTAAAAAAAAAGAAAAAAAAAATACTGAATCGCTCCGCAACTTTGAAAAAACCGAACCGAAATTTCTTTACACTAAAATAACCGGACCAAACCGCACCGAATTGCACGTCTCGGTATTTCTATACACTTGATTCATTTTGGTGCGGTTCAGTGCAAAACCGCACCTAACCAAACAAAACCGAAAATCGAACTTATGAAAAACTATAACCGCACCTTACTGCACCGCAATATAGGAAAAAACCGAACCGAAATTTGTTTACATTAAAAAAAAAAAAAAAAAAAAAAAAAAAAACTCAACCGAACTGCACCGAATTGCATGATCCAGCTCGGTTTTGCTCGCCATTACATATCTGACTCAAGTTGCAATTCTTGTCTTATTAAACCTCATTCTTTTTTTTTTTCAAAATCACGATTCAGGAAATTCTCCGGATGTGTGGCAATAGATGTGTTTTGTTCGATAACAAGACAAAAGAGGCAGACAAGAAATCCAAACAACTGAAACAACTTATTTCCCTTGTGAACTCTGTTGTGGACAAAAATGGTGGGAAGCCATACACTGATGAGCTGTTTATCGAGCTCAAGGTTAGCAAGTACATATTATTAGTTACTGCATATGATGAAACTAGAATGTTTGTAATAAAAATTGCATTCGAATCATAACAAATGGAGCAACAACAGAAGGGAGCAATGAAGCTGCACGACCAAACTGCAGAAGTTAATGCCATGGAAGGGTACTCAAAACAAGAGATATCCTGTCTAAAGGATCAGTTTCACAAAGCGTACGAGGAACAACTCAAGAGGATAACCGAGATGGTTAGCTATGTTGTTTTTGCCTTTTTCATTTATTTATTAATTATATTATATATGTTTGGATATAAATTTATCCAATTCATACTCAATTCATATTCAAAATTTAACTTAACTTCACTATCTTCAATATTATTAATATAATTAAATAAATCAAACAATCATTCTTATACATCACATCAATTTTAATTCACTATTCATCCACTCATATAATTTTAACTATTCATTACTTCATATCATCTCTCTTCTACTTTTACATCAATTTAATTATTTTATTTTAAATATTATTTTAATACAACGTCAAAATTCCACTAATAACTAACTATATAAACTTTTTAAAATTAATTGTGGTTAACTAAAAACACTCATTTTGAGCGGATATATTTGTACACTAGCATGCCCTGAGTGGATTATATTTAGCTACGATGTTTATGTTGATTACTTATAGGTCGAGTCAAAGCTCAAGGAGACCACTCATAGGCTCGAGCAGCAACTTGCGGAGGAGCAAAGTGCAAGGCACAAAGCAGAGGCACTGGCTCAGGCTGCTCAAATGAAATCAAACGATGAAATCCGTAAACTGAGGGAGCATTTGGAGAGGGCTCAGAAGGAGACCGAGGAGCTACGCAAGCATGCTCAAAGTGGCAGATGTGCTATTTTGTGATGACACAATATATAATAATATGATGTATAATCCTTTCTTTCTCCTCTCTTTATTTTGATAATATGATGTTATCAAATGATTTGACAGCCATAAGATCCCAATAAATATACATTCTTTTATAGTCAAATGTCATACTTAAAAGACAAAAGATAGATATTTCATAGTATAAATATACATTTTTTTGTACAAAACTACAAAAGTATAGTTGCTAAACAGGTAGACAGTCTAATAACAATATTTGCAGTCTTTCTATATTTGCTCTTGATCTAACAACAATATTTTTGTGGTCTTTTCTGTATTTGCTCTTGATTGAACCTTCTTGTAGCCTTGTTGGTGGGTATAATATAATCTCAAAATCAGATTCCCATGATTGTTTTCACTCTTGATTGTGGCCTTATTTTTAATTTATAACTTTCACAAACATATTTTGAACTGGACACTAAGCAATTTGCTGGTCTAGTGGAGTTATTGGAGTGATTTTTTTTTTATTTTTATTTTTTTTCAATTAAAAGACAAATATCTCGGTAAACTGAACTTAAACCAGGGTACCTAGCAGTACGTAGATATGGCCAGTCAACGGGTTTGGGCCCGGCCCGGCCTTCCGGGGCAACGGTCCTCAAAACTCTGGCCCGTGACCGAACCGGAAAGTGTTTAGGGTCAGTTCATCGTACTGGCTCGGTCCCGCCAGTTCTCCAGCCCGCCCGACTCCCAGAATTAAAAAAAAAGAAAGAAATAGAGAGACGCCCAGTCCAGCCAGCGACCCGGCCGCTGGGACAAAAAAAATTTGTTCCTCACGGTCTGGTTAAACGAACTGGTCCTTAGGTGGCAGGTTCAGGGCGTGTTGGGTCCGTATAATCATTAGGCCGATGTTATTTTTACGAATATATATACTTTTATTAGAATTTTTTATTTATTTATTTTTTTTTTTACAAATATAAGATGGAAAATAACAATTTAAAGGCTTAATTGTTTATGAAATAATTTGTTCAAAATGAGTTTGTAGACAATTAAATTTTGAGCCAATTAAATGGCGACAAGTGTCAAATTTCATGTCAAAATCAATTTAATAATTTTCTATTTTATTTGGGAAATTAATCACATTTTAA